CACTTAGCTACCCCCATCGCTTAGTTATCCCGCTCTATGGCCACGCCCCCTCCCCAGGTGGCCACGCCCCCTCCCCACCCGCTTTCCCGTTCCCACAGACCCAGGGCCCACTCCTGCCCCCTTCTCGGCAGGCCCCGCCCCTGACGAGCCCAACCCCTTAAAGGGGCCTGAACGCCCAGGAGGATCTCAGCAGCCCTCAGGGTGGTGGCAGTGGCAAAGGTGCCAGTGAGGAAGGTGTAGAGCCCCCATGGCACCCACTGCCTCAGGGCCTAGTGCCCCTGACAACAGCCCCAGGAGGCAGCCCCCTGCCATGCCCACTCATGCTGTCAGCAGGGGGTGGGGCAGGGGGTTGTGTGTCATCCCCCCCTCCACATCACCCCAGATGTCAGCATTCCCCTGCACTCACCATGGTCAAGGCTATTGGTGGTGATGGCACTCACAGACACAATTTTCAGCACAGTCTGGAGGTGGGGGATGTGGCCTCTGACTCCCCTGTGACCCTGACCCCTCCCTTGTACCACCAAGCCCTGGCTTGACCCCAAGCCTGACCTGCAAACGCACACACACACACACACACATTAGGCTGGCTCAATGCAAATGACACCAAATACAATGCATGTTTCTGTGATGTTTTATAAGTAACAGAAAAGCGTGACAGAGGCTGTATATGTATATGTATACCTGCTGTGGTAGGCATTTTTTTGCAATGGCTGTTGATGCCTCGTTTTCAAAACAAGTGATAGCTCTGTAAGTGGCAGGAACCCTGCCACTGCCACCTCTTTGCTTGATCACATCATTTTGCTGGCTCTTATTTTCTATCCTGTTCTTATTCTTCTACATTTGTTTGTTGTGTCTTCTGAGAACCGTTACCTGCATTCTTTTGCAGCTATCCATCCATTCTTTTCACCTATTGCACCTTTTTTCTTACAAAAGTATTTGCCTTCTGCCATGCCTCCTTCCAGTGATGTACAGGCCCTTCTCCCACTCCTGCAGCGACTGGATTATGCGCAGCTGTGAGCATTTTCTCCCCTTCTCTGCTCCCGTCCACTATTTCCAACCTCTTTGTCAAGTACTGTGTACCAACAGCTTTTGCAGTTGCCAGCTATCCCTGCAATGTACTAAATCTTTCTTACCCCCTTTAAACGTCTGCACTGCTGTCTCCTCCGTATGTCATCTTCAT